TCATGTGGTTACTTTCAACGATTCATGTTTAGAAGTTCTGTTGGTGATACGGTATTAGATTTTTAAAAACAACTGAAGACAAAAAAGAACAGAGTAGGTGCTATAAATTCTGAACGGAACTACTGGAATTCTTTTGTTTAGTTGATACCGACTATCCAATTCAAGTTCACTATAAGATACTTTATGGATGGTTATCCTGCATTAGTTTAACTGTGTTCAGTTGTTGTTTATTGCATTTCTGAGACAACTGAATGTTACCAATGAAGATTACGATTTTTTTGTGAGCAATATAGATCTCAGTCATCTTAATTAGCCCTGATTCAAAGAACCATTAAAATGGATTATCTGCTTTACGTAATACTCAGTTTAATTGCTGAATTCATGAGTCAATCGAAGCTAGACCACCATGGGAAACCTGGAAGCACTGGATGGCCGTTTCGTCCTACTTTATGAGATCAACTTTTGAATGACGAAGAATTAGTTAACAGTCATGTTAGAATTAAGTCACGGCTAGAGTAGTTGTTTAGTAGTTACTGTACAATTTTCACTAAATATCATGAGGGTTTTTTGTGGATATTATAGTCATTTCAATGGTTGAGATCAGGAGTCAATTGAAGCTAGACCACCATGAAAAACTCGGAAGCATTGGACGAAACGGCCAAGACTATCGAATATAAATAGGTATATGGTTCTCCAGTTCACTGTATACTTGGATAGGTCATCCAATCAACGTTACCAATGTTTAAATTAGGTATTTACATTAGTGTGTAAGAGATATGGTGTGAAACATTGGATTTACTTCAAGTTCATTAGCTTAGATTTCTACAAATACATTCTTCCTCTTTAATGTCATACATCAACTCAGCGCTCACATACTGTGAAACTATTCGATCAAATTTAGACAAAAGTTCGATGAGATTATAATTGATGGACGACCTTTTAGCGACGCTAGACTGACCTTGATAGTATCCACCTACTTACTAGGGCTAAATGAAGGTTATAAACCAGTGTGAGGAATTAGAATTATGATTTACAATTGATGTTTAGAGTTAGGAATTAGATTTAGAGTTTTCATCATGAATTGACATCAACTATCATACTAAAACTTTATTTATTCAAATGGATGAGTGAATTTTGCGCCAAAATCCGAGACCTGTTATCTTATACGTGATTGGTTCGTCCATAAATTATGGTCTCGCCAAGCTTGTAACAAGAGGAATATGAATATGCCTAGTTTATCTACTTAACAGTTATACCATAAAAATATACGTATAGTATTGATCTATAAATGGATCCCAACAGTTATCATTATATTATTCTCATAGGGATATAACAAACAGTATTATCATACTATACCAATATTCATTCAATAAATAATTACAAAATTCTTTTATTTTCATGAATCAATCAAGACATTTCATTGGATCTAATCCATTGAACACCAATTCCTCTTTAATAAGAAGTAAAAGTTTTCAACATATTACCACCAACTATCATAAATCATCAATAATGAAGTTATGGAAACATGAACATTGGAATTGTATTCCATGGAAATCTGATCTAACATTATTTCAATATAATAATAATACACTTGAATTGGATCACAGATCATGGTTATACTTATATTATAATACAAAATATATACATGAAACAACAGTTTAAAAAACAAAACAAAACATCAATGAGTATCTATACACATCTCATGAATAATCTGTCCAGTATGGATCTATTCAATGAATGGAGTATAAACAATACCCTTGTATATGATATTTAAGATAAAGTAGACTGTGGTTAAGAATGATTCTGTATCAATGGTTAACTATTAACTTTTGTTATAATGATGATTAGATAAATTGTACGTATATATATTACGTTTGGATGTTTGCCGATAAAATCAATACTGACTTCTTTCATTAAATATAATAAAGGATTGTTATATATCCAATTTTACATGTGTACAATGTGAGCACTGGAACGTTTAAACTCTTTCAAGTTGTAAATGAATAGATAGAAGATAAGTAAGAAGGAATGCTATTCTTAAAAGTGTCAATTATGGTAGAAAACTGTTAGGTATTTATAGGAAATCATCATTATAGTCCTCCCTCAAAAAGTGAAGAGAGTCAACTTTACCTCTCCTAATGCTCTCAAATGACCAGGCGTATACAGCCACTGTCAGAGAGGTTCTATTCACTGCGTTCAAGCGGTATTACTGTTGTTTACGAAACTGAAAGGATGAAAAGAACATGTCCGGCGATCTAACCGGGTTGGTGGACACGAAGAGGGTTGTTGGAAAACCCTAATTTCAAACCAATGGTGTACATGGGCTCCATTATCCTGAAGGAACAAATGGCGTATGAGCCCATTGTTGGTCACCGGCTACCATGGGACTGCATCTCCTCACGTTGCTCCACTACCTTGTCTATCAGACCTATAAGTCAAAGACTCTGATTGTGGCCCCTTGAGAAAACCACCTGTTTCGGTTTGGGCACCCGGGAGGTACCGCAGCCCTCACACGAACCGAATGATTTATGTAGCGCATATCTGCTTGGTGCCTCCTTGTGCCTATGTTTATGCGTTTAGATAAATAACAAAATAGCATTTGTTCAATAGGGAAGCTATACATAGTGATTCTGGATTATTCTTAAGAAAGATGATTGGATGGAATATCTTCGGCTCTATCTGAGCTACCTCGAGTTCACCCGTGGGTCTTCCTCAAATTATTTAGTAGATACATCCTCTCGCTAATCAACAATAATCAATGATCTATATATGTACAGAGATTCAGGTTCATTCAGTTAATGAGTGTTAAATAGGATGAAACATACATCTTGAATGTTAGTCACTAACCAGAAATATAAATTAAGCTTAACAATACAAGCAATATCAAAGCATCACATTCAAGATTTCCACGACATAATATGTTAACAGAGATTGATTAGATTCATTCGTCACTATAAATAACAAGAAAATAAAAATTCTTTGTAAATATTTTGAATGTTAGTTTCATACTTATCACATTTTAAATCGCGTGGTTGACTCGATAATGTAGATTTATAGTACTAGTAGTCCTAGAAACAAGGAAATTCACCGATACAAGTCAGACTATCAAAACCACTCGACACTTAATATAATAACTTTTCAATTTCATATTAATTAGTATATGGTTGTGGAGATTATTGCGTTTAGACCGATATCATGAATGGATCGGTGTTAGACCACCATTGAAAACCTGAAAACATTGAACGGCCGTTTCATCCTAGTATGGAACTCTCCAGCAGTGTGTATTCACGATCCCGGACGCGAGACTTGAACCCAGGACTTTTGGTTTCGCGTGCGAACGCTTAATCTGTAGACAACTGAGCCCGCATCCAACGGTGTTTATGTCTAACTTCAACCAATCCACAATATTGCGCGACCGTCCACCATTGTCTTCAGTGAGTAATTGACTCACAACACACATGATTGAACTCCACTCGTCACCAAAGGTCCTGAGTTCAAGTCTCGCGTGCGGCATCGTGGATGCCCACTGCCATGGAAGAGTCACATACTAGAACAAAACGGTCGTCCAGTGCTTCCAACTTTTTAATGGTAGTCTAACATCGATCCATTCATGATATCAATCTAAATTCCATATTTAAACAATGGAAAATAATTGAAAAAGGACCTTTCTGAAAATTTGTTGTTATTATCGATCGATCCAGAAGTACATGACATGCCGAAAATGACATCGGAGAGTACAATAAGAAGATTGTCAGGATTGTTTGCTAGTTTCGGGGTTCCAGAGATATTAGTGACCGACAACGGTACTCAGTTTATGTCATCTGTTTTCAAACGCTTTTGCAGTGAAAATGGTATATCGCACCTACAATCTCCTCCGTACCATCCTCAGTCGAACGGCCAAGCAGAAAGATTCGTAGATACGTTAAAGAGAGCTCTGGTCAAAGGGGGAGGTGAGAGTATCCCGGAACAAGTGATCAGTAAGTTCTTAATGTCGTACAGAGTTACCCCTAATCCTGCAGTACCAGAAGGAAAGTCGCCAGCCGAGTGTATGTTCGGAAGAAAAATCCGGACAGTCTTTAACAGTATGTTGCCGCCCAGAGAGACAAATAAACCCACGAATGAAGATCGTAAGGTCAATCGTAGCTTCCAGGTGGGTGAAAAGGTACTTGTCAGATCGTATCAAAGTAATAGGAAGTGGGAACTAGGTGTCATAGAACGTCGAATCGGAAATGTACTGTACCTAGTCCAGAAAGGTGTCGGAAAATGCATAAGACACATAAATCAAATGCAAAGAAATGATAGCACAGTGGTCCCAGAAAACCGTCTCCCATTTCAATTGCTCGTAGATTCATCTCAGAAGAACCATCATGAGCGCAAACATCGAAAAGACAAACGACGCAGAGAGAAAGCTGTACAACCCTCGAGAGTAATGGACCGCAAGAGGAATGCGACACCCAAGCTTCAGGTGGATCCAAGAAAAAAATCTTACACAACGGACTTTAAAGGGGAGAGGTGTGATGACGGACCACCGGTGAACTCGAGGAAGCTGTAAGAGGCTCAGAAGGAGCCGAAGACGTCTCAAACAATCACCTTTCGGAAGAATATTCTAGAATTCCAACGTGTAGCTTCCCGATTGGGTAATGCTAATAACCCCCTGTATGCGGATTGGAAGACTGTAATGATGATTTCGTTCTCACTAAAAACTATAAATACCTGACAATTTTGTACTATGATTGACACTGTTTGGAATAATATTCTTTTCGTTAGTCTTCTGTCTTCTTACTGCGACTTGGAAGGGTTTTGGTGTTTTAGTGCTCTGTTATACGCGGTAGTATCAAGAAAAATCAACTTTTCAAGATATAACATCAATCAACTATGAATTTGAGTATTTGTTACAGGTAGAACTCTTGAAATTTACATCATATAATGCATACAAATAATCGTCAAGATTAGAATGAATAGTTTGACAGAAATTGGGCGTCAAGTATACAGAAGTGATTAAATATGTGAAAACTATATTCTGAAATAATCTCTCAACGATTGAAATCAAAGCTTAAAAAATAGTAGTAGAACTTCAGAGATATTCCATAAAAATAAGTTGAAATTTGTAATGGTTAAAATAAATAACGATAAGATGAATTTTACTATTTACAAATGTTTAAATGGAGACAGATTTTCAGAAAATTAAAAAATAAAACATTAAATATTTACATAATATTAGATATACTACTTAAATACTGACTATACAGATATATACTACTTATTATTGATCCATAAGAATATAGAAGAAAGTATAACTGTAACAATTGAAAATGTATTTACAATATAAATTAATCAACAATTTACAGCTTCATTTTCCATACCTAAAAAAGAAAGAATTGAAATGTAAAAATGATTATATAACTGAAAGTAGATTTCAATTTCTAAATAATTAAGAGAGTTATTGTAAATGGTATTATACACAGATTGAATTGAATTAAACAACTTGTAAAACTATGAAGTACTAAACAGCTGTTTTGCACCACAAATTCCGTGATACAACCGAGAGTAAGGAGAGTCAGCTGTACCTCTCCTAATGCTCTCAAATGACCATGTGCATACGACTACTGACTGGGAAGTCCTACACACTACCTTCTCATGGCGAGCGTATTGTTTACGAAACTAAAAGGATGAAAAGCACATGTCCTGCCCTCTAACCGGGTTGGTGGACACGAAGAGGGTTGTTGGAAAACCCTAATTCCAAACCAATGGTGTACATGGGCTCCAGTATCCTGAAGGAATAAATAGCGTACGAGCCCATTGCTTGTCACCGACTACCATGGGACTGCATCTCCTCACGTTGCTCCACTACCTTGTCTATCAGACCTTTAGGTCAAAGACTCCGGGTGTGGCCCCCTGAGAAAACCACCTGTTTCGGTTTGGGCACCCGGGAGGTATCGCGGCCCTCACACTAATCGAATGATTTATGTGGTGCATATCCGTTTAGTGCCTCCTTGTACTAATGTTTATGTATTTAAATAAATAAATAGTATAGGACTACTCAGTAATGTGCACCAACGGCCAAATCAGTGATCAAAACCATGACATGCAAGTGATCCCAGGAGCTTAATAATTAAACCAATGAGTTTGAACCTAATGGTACAAATTTGAATTTGAATTAACTTACGCCCATTATCCAATGTCACTAATGACGACTATCTTGCTTTCAAAATCACAAACGAAACTATCTGGAGGTGTGTGTGTGTGTGTGGGAGATCAGTCACTAAAAGCTCATAAAGACTGAAGTGGTTTCATACTGTTTAAGAACTGATCAACAGGTTTTACCCACAATGCTACATGGGTCATAACACAAGATCTTCAGGTCTTACGAATCATTAACCTATAGTTAAAGTGAGATTTAACAGATTTTTCAGGCACAAGTTTATGTACTCAGTTTGAGATAAACCTTTTATGTGAATAGTTAGTTATGTTAACCATGGACTGAAGGCGGAATCGGGGAGTTGTGTTCCGACTTGCGACCTACTAATTGTGGGTTGCCATACTGTAACTACTAAACAACTGCGCACATGACTTTGGGTAAACGTAAATAAGAAACGAACCTATTGAATCCAGAAAGATAGATGGACCACAGAGTCAGTATCCAATGAAGAGTCACACCTCGAATGAAATCTAGATTAGGCGGCGTTCCCTCCAGAATACCTCCGATCAAGCCCTAAGATACAACTAATACAAAACCTGTTGCAAATGTGTATCGATTTCAATCGACACAGTTTATGTCAAAATATTGAGATAGTAAATTGAAAAAAAAAGAAAATTAACACAGTCGAAATAATCATATCAGTGGTATGAGTGTTGTGAATGAGAACACAAGCAGGGCCACCAAATGTAGTTTAGTACATTACAGAATATCTTGGTAAAATCTGAGAGCCATACAGTAAATACTACATTTGCAAAATATCCACCAATTGTCTCAGACTCTGTTATTACTTCGTTTCCATAACGATTACTCTTTGTTCCCGTTCTATTCTCTTCAATTTTCTCAACTTGATGCTGCCAGTCATTCTACTGTTGGATAGTGATACATCAGTAGCACACACCATATGAGCAACTCGAACCATTTGGCTGACAACCACAATCTAATTACGGACAAACCAAACTGCATAAACGTGGTTTACCAATGAAACTAATTATCTCTATCATTAGTAATTAATATATTTTTTTGTTGTATCGCAATAAGTAGAAAAATTGGAGTTCTGACGTTTCGTAACTCAATGTAAGCCACTTCCTCAGAGTAAATAAATAACCGAATTAAATTCACACAAGTTTAAATAGTACAAAGGAAATAATGCAGAATATTTTTAGTACAACCAAAATCATAATAGATCTGAAGGGAAACGGAAAAGAGGAAAACCAAAGAACACACTGCATCGAGAATTGGAATCAGACATCAAAAGAATGAATAACAACTGGAAAGGATTGTCCAGGAGAGAGTTCTATGGAGAATGCCGGAGGGCAGCCTATGCTCCTCCACGACGGGTAACAAACGTAAGTAAGTTGTTTTACCCGCCCTCTGATAATGTAACCTTCTTCCTAACTTTTTTTTATTTATATCAAGCTGATTCAGGTGTATATTATTCGAAACGCTACTAGACGAGAGACAACGTAACTACATACATAACCCATAATTGAATAACAACCGATAGAATAATGCGTAACACATACTCACCTTTGTTAAATCGTGTTAGATTTTTTATATCCGGTTGAATAATATAAGATTCACTGAGTTTTATTTGTCGTGATGGTTGTGATAATGTTTTCGATGGATTCACAACAATAACAGGTTCTAAATCAATTAACGCTGTTTGTGAACCATCACTTTGACAACTATCACGACGATGTGAACAACTACCGGTTTTTGTTTCCATTCTATCAATTTTATTTAATAAATCTACACTGGAATCAATTTCACCGATGACATCATTTGTAAAGACATGGCTTGGATGAATTAAATGTGAGTTTTTAGTAAGCGTTTCATGTTCAGATGATGAAACTAATAATTCATGCTTTTTACGATGTGTTGAATGAGATAAACGTTTTAAATTTAAACCGCTAGGTTGTCCAGTTCTGGATAATACTTTAACACGTGTTGGACGTGATTGATTAACTATAGACGTTGATGGTGATGACAATGTAGGTGTTGATAATGCAATACTTGTAGTTATTGTTGTTGTTAGCGGTGATGATGAAGATGGTATTGTAGTTGTTACTGTTGTAACAGAAGCACTTGAATGAACAACACGAAGTTTTGAATGTTCTGTTGCCTTAAATAGAAATGATGGAAAATTAATTTTAAAATTTGAATGATTTCTTTTATGTATCTTTGATGACTGTTCGGATGATGACTGACCAAAAGTATTGGTTCCACCTGATGAATAGACAGGCCATGGTTTTGTACGATTGACTCTTGAACGATTAAAAAAATAGTAATAATGAAGGTGACACAATGAAATCGAAATCATCAAACGTATACTTTATCTCAGAAGGGTTTTTTGTGAATATTATAGTAATTTTATTAGTTGAGATCATGAGTCAATTGAAGCTAGACCAACTTGGAAAACCTGAAAGCATTGGACGGCCGTTTTGTCCTATTGTGGGACTCCTTAGCAATGAGCATCCACGACCTCGTCTCGCGAGATTCGAACCCAGGACCTATCAGTCTCGCGCGCGAGTGCTTAACCACCAGACCACTGGGCCGGCACCCAACGGTGTTAATGTCTAACTTCAACCAATCCACGAAATCGAGCGACACTGAAGACATTGGTGGATGTGTCTCTCAGTCTCATGAATTGGTCGAAGTTAGACATTAACACGGTCGGATGCCGGCTCAGTGGTCCGGTGGTTAAGTGCTCGCGCGCGAGAATGATAGGTCGTGGGTTCGAATCTCGCGAGGCGAGGTCGTAGATATATTTTTATGATGAAATCATGTCATCACATCAAAGAACATTTTGTATCACTTAACAAGTTGTAAGCAACTATTTAGAGTAACTACACACAGAACTACTGTTATAATTGCCTATAGTTCGTTTTAAAATTTAAATCAAGTTGACCTATATGAAGTTGCCTATCTATTTTCCAGTGTTTAAAAAATCGTTCGATTTCCAGCAACTCCAGCATTTCTTTCTCGTTCATTTATTGGGTGAGCGCTGCATACCAGTATTGTATGTAGAACAAAATATTGGTATGGTTACTTGTTATAACAACACAGTAGAACAAACCAACTAAGCTCTACTCGGTAAGTCAAAGCATCTTCATATAAAAGAGTTACGACACCTAACAGTGAAAGCTGAGATTTTTCAGAAATCAAGAGGCCGATACCCTTCTCATCTGAGATGTTTTTTCCATCTTGTCTCTTAATTAGAGAATATAAAAGAGAATAAATTAGGATTCATTCATTGAACATATTATCCGCTTTTTGTCATGAATTGATTACAAATTGGGGGGCAATTGGATACCAGGGAGTACTAAGTGGTTGTTTCCTACGAGGAGCCCTATACTAAAATGAAACCTTTTGTTGGTGTTCTCTGGTAGATCTCAACGGTGCCCCCAGTTGTGATCATTCTGTGAAGAAAGCCAACTTATAAAATAACAAATTATACAAATTAAAAGAACAGATTAACACAATTTATAAATATAAACTTACATTTCTAATAAATTAGTTTGCAATTCACAAAACCGTTTATATTCTGATTCACCAAAAGGCTAGAAAGAGAAACCAACATTTGTAGAATATGTATTTTTCAATGATTTTAAACTACTACATAGTAGTAGTAGTAGTACTGGTAGGGTAGTAGGAGTGTAGGAGTAGTAGTAGGAGGAGGAGGAGGAGGAGTAGAATAGGAGTAGGAGTAGCAGTGGTAGTAGTAGTAGCAGTAGTAGTAGTAGAGAGAAGAATAAAGAACAACTTACGTACATTCAAATCATGCCTTGCCCACAAATACAGTTGACAATATTCTTCAATGTGATCACGAGATGGTGGCGGATTCATGACATTATGACGAGCTGTCAATAAGAAATCACGTATATCTCTTAATGGAGGAGCTTCTAATGTCGAATCTAAGGAAAGTATGGCTTGTTCTATTTGAAATACAAAACAGAAAAAAGGGGAAGAAAAAAGCGACAAATTAACGTTTATAAGTTATTTTTATTAAAAAGTAAAAAAATAAAATTCAACAACCAACCTACTTAACATGAGAAACTGATCGACTGTTTTAGCACGATAAAGGAAAGTTACTTCACCTGTAATATGATAAATAAAATAAGCCAAATTATTGATGTTTGGGTTACATTATACATACCAGTAGAAGTGTAGACATTGTAATTTTCAGAATAATGAGGACCGAATACCTGAGGTTCAGTGCGTATTTTCACAGTGCCATTAATTTTTTTCTCGATATTTGATTTCCAAACCTTGGATCGTAAATAAATGAAGAAATATAAGATTCAACTCAGTATAAGCCCTTACAAATAGATTGTACTTGTTCATATAGAGTTGGCTGGTGGTTAGTAGTGAAATTCAAAATTCTCGTTCCGTCCTATATAAGGTTTGTCAGCTGAATCTGCATGTACTCCAGTGTTGATGTCCCCACCGAGACTCAGTAGCTAAGCGGTTGACGCGTTGGGCGGTATAAGCGAAAAGTACTAAGCTCGATTCCAGGTGCTAAAATCAAATCTGGGGTGCAGATGTATCCAGCTGACTAGTCTCAAATAGAACGAAAAGAGCATCCAATCAGTTACTATCGAACTCTGTTTAAAAAGTGTTTGTGACTTAATGGAAATATCGAGATGATCAACTTCGAAACTGATCAATTGTAGTCCTTAACATCAATAAGATGCAAACTCTTACAAAGGAATTGAATTGTAATTGGTTTTTAAGAACTGCAATGTTTGAAAAGAGGGATTTTATTATAGGACTACAATTATACAATACAATATAGTTTTTTCGCTCAACTCGAATACATATTAAGTAAAACAAGGTAGTAGATTGATAAAAGAAAGCATAAGCTTTTGTTTAGTGAGTTTTTCGATTTATGTTTTAAGTAGGCATAGGAGGCATCGGCTTACAATAATTTAGTAAACAAAAATAATAGGAACAGTCAAATTGAGGTAATACAAGAGAAATTTACGTGAGTTATAAAATGAATCTTGGACCACCAGAAAAAGAACACTAGGTAACCAAAATAATTAACTATAGATACACAGTGAAGCCGTTTAGATATATTCATGTTAGTACATTGATACTGAAGCAGTTTATACAAGCCTCATACAAATCAGTAGTCGGGAAAGACTGAGTTATGAAAAAAGCATTCCCAAAATGAATAAAAAGTCTATGTTTTAGTACAAATTCTTGAAGAGCACAATTTGACCCTTTAACGTGACGAGTATGATAAAAGTCGTTAGGTTACCTTGGACAAAATCAGATTGTAACTAGTGGTCTCTGAGTTCCTGAGTCGAAAACTATGTTAAAAATACCTCTTTGTTTACTAATTTTCAACTTTACCTCGATAACTGTGTAATTTTAAGACAACAGTCAGTACCTCTGTGTAACCAAGTCTACAAAGCATTTTTTATTTTGACTAAAGAAAAATTTAGTTGTAATATTGGAATCAACACTAGATAAGTTTTGATTTTACATCTTACTTCACTCATAGCTTATTAAAATCCAGCAACTATTAAACTATTTCCGAAGGATAACTATTTGTGATTCAATAAACAACTAGTTTAAGAGTCCAATGGATACAAAATCCTTTATTTCTACAATTTCACTGATTTGTACAGACAATAATAACCTATGACGAGTAAGTTTCCCGAGTTTATCGAGAATACTTAGTTCGGGAAAATGAGGGACTTAATCACTCAGTTGCAACCGACAAAGTACAAGTAAATTTACATTATCTTACTTTTGGTAGACCATGTCCACATGAATTATAAGTAGTACGTCCTATTCGGCTTTTTCGTCGAGCTATACGTCTTTTGACAATAACTAGTATGCTGATCAAAATGATGACTCCAATTGCCAACAGAACTAAGAATAATGCCAGAGCAATATGTTGTGTTGGCATTGTAAATGTTAACTAAAATCGGAGGTAGATATTTATTCTACATCAACGATTCACAACCTGTAAATTCAGAAATACATAATTTTGAAAAACTTCACATTTTAGGCATTTCAGTAGACAAAATAAAAATGATCAAGGATCGAGGAGCAGACATCTACATAACTGTAAAGATACTGCGTCTAATTAAATAAAATTTAAGAAAACAAAGTATGACGGTGTGAATAACACAAAATCCGGATGCTTAAAGTGATAAAAGGTTTAATCTCATGGTTGATAGATTTATGAATGTTTGATAGTCCCAAATTCTAGTCTGTATTTCAGTCAGTTTAGCAGCTAAAATCTGACGGCTATCCATAAGGATCTCAGTCATTAATCGATCAGGGCCTTCTGCTTTTTATCACTTTAGATTAGCTATGGCCTTTGTAACCTAAAGGTTAAAGGATTTGTGTGATTTCAAGTTTTTGGGACAGTGAGTAGCCAGAACATATATGGAGGACAGCTGAACTGTTACTAAAAGTATGTTGCTTATCGATCATTTCGAGAGTCTTCAAGATAAACTCTTACTACAATCGACCAAGTGCATATCTAATTCCTCCTTGCATGTATCCCTGAACTTTCTATCTTTAAATTGCTATCTAAATGGTTTTCCTGCTGTGGCCTCCACAAATCCAGTAAAGCTCATAGATAAACGAAATTTTATTGTATTATGATCGAAGTTCAGGCATGTACTCCAGAAGGAGCGGAAGTTTTTAATCGATCCTGCTTAATGATTAGTGATGGCGGAGTGGTCGATTTATGTCCATTACTGGGTTTGTGGTAGGGGCTACCAATGTCTTTTCTAATGCTTAAATTCTATTATTTTTAAAAATAATCGGCTGCCCAAGCATAATTTCAGAAAACAATCACCGTTGTCTGTTCACTCGGCTGAAATACTATAAGGCCCAACCAAGTATCTTTCAGATTGATCCAGTCGGTGAAACTAAGGTTTTTGAAAGGCGTTTGAACGACTTTAAAGTGACCTTAAGACGAATCATCAACTTTCTAGGATCGGAAAAGTGTTATGAACTAGTATAAGGAATTAGAATTACGAGTTTAAACTCAGGACACCAGCTATAACATCAAAATGTCATTTAGGTATGTGGACGAATAAAACTCGCGCCAAAACCTAAGGCTTAATATTCCTAATTTGATTGGTTTGTTCGTACATTATGGTTTCGCAGGTAAAAAGTTTCCTGTAAGGCTTATATTTACTTGATCTAAGTTGCAATCACGGTATGCATAAAAATAAACGGCGAGTTATAGTGGGTTTTTCCTCGCTAAATACATATATTCAGAGATTTGGTGAACTTTAAACAAGTATTTTATCGTTATTTGATTATTCGTTGAAACTATTGAATTACGCATCTCAAATAAACAGAAACAAGTAGTCAAAATCTACATTTTAACGTTCAGAACGCCAACACCAACCGCTAAACGTAACAGCGCAGTAATTTTATAAAACAAATAAAGAACTGGATGATGACATTGGCATTAGATAAAGATAAGCAACATAGTTAAGTTACTACATATTTCGTGCCACCCCCTTACAGAAGATACCACGACGAATCTCACGCGAAAATAGTTCAGCAAAGCTGGAAGGACACATCTTAATGTGTTAGACTAGCATTAGGTAACGAAAAATTAACAATTCCATTGAACATCTGAAGCTAAATAGTTCAAAAAGACAATATATTTAAATAAGCCGATTGATTCTTTAGAAAATTTGCCACTTGTATGAATCAAAACTTTAAACCTCAATTATACAATAAACAAAGAATGAATCTCGCAAACTAAACTCACACCCCTTGAACTGTTTAGCCTTGATCTAACCTTGAAGTTATGTTTGGCGCACGAACAGTAACAAATATCCAATATCCTCGTCCTGAGCTTGCTTCCTATTGTTTATCTACTGTTCTAGGTACTTTATAGCGTCTAAATGATGATAGTCTGGTTACGTGGCTTCGGTATTTGTTACCATTTTGATTATCCTTTTTGACTTGAAAATCTTGCAATTTTAGTTGGCGAGTGTGTCTCACGATAGTAGGGTCTCCGGATATCCGCAGCAATCATATAATCGGATAAAAGGTTGGCTGGTTGTAATTACTCTAGTGCAGAGAGAAGAGGATTATCTCGGGAGTGATACGTAAGTTAATGAGTTTGAAATGCAGACATTTTGGGAAGACCAAGGTGTATGAGAAAGCGGGAATACGAACCGGAGATAAACGAAGTCGTTACAAGTGTTCATTAGTGACAACTGTGCTAATTTATCAGACAGGCATCAGACACACCTGTCCAAAAAAGCTGATGATCCATGGTTTAGTTTATGTTTTTCAGATGTCCTCCTAAAGCTTTCCAATGGTATTGCTCTAGTCACATTGTCCAAATAGGAGCAACTCTTATTGAGAAAATGTGAGAGAACATTTGAATATCTGTGTGATGATTAGAAGTGTTTGAATTATTATACGAGCCAGGAATCCCAGAAATCGCGCAATCTAGATCAAAATGAACTACGTGAGCACAAACGAAAGTATTGTTCTTGAGATTCGAAATCAGGCAGACATCAAGTACAAAGGGACCATTAGTTCATACAAACACCACAATTCGTTTTTTTATTTGCAATCTCCCGGCGGTTTCCTCGAAGAACGTGGTGATGGTGTTTTGGTAATATGCTCGCGTTGAGGTAGCTTGGAGTACTTGGTATTAATCTACTGTAGCACGACGAGAATAATACAAGGCGTTTAAGTCTATATTCTCAAGATCTATGATCTAGACCCATCACGCACTTTGTTGACTGTGTCCATACATGATTTAGGATATTTACCTATTTTGAGTAGAGGTGGCTCAACGACATCGTGGAATCCATGATAAAGCTGTGCGTACTCTCGAAACAGTGTCACAGACAGATCTGGGGTGATTGCGCTAAATTGCCTATGCATAAGGTCAGTAGTTGAGTTTGCCTTAGCTTCATTTCTATGTAGTTTGAGCTGGGATTCAAGATCACCTTGGTTACAAGCCTGAGGTCACACTGAGAAAATAATAGGGAGCTGATTTCGATTAAGAGCGTAAGTGCTTGGTGTCCAACGACGCAAAACGCTAATGACACGGACACACTTTTTGGATTTATACTTCTCGATTCTTTCAGCCTTAGATTTCGTTAATCTTGTGGACTCAGTTGAGATAGTACTGTTCTTAATTTATTGCAGACTTTGGTTTCCTTAATTTTTCACTGAAATTCGTTGTTTCTTCCTGAACTACATCTATGTTGTTTCAAATGATATTTGTTTATGGCGACTGTCATATTGACTCATTCCCCTTTTCTGTTGAGCTTGTGGTGGACCAAAAAGTATATTAACCAAAAATTAGCAATAAAGTTATTACGCCCAAAAGTTAATGTAGCACTAATAATTTATAAATTAGTAACACAAAATAAAATTTCAGGGATGTTACTTAAATCAGCTAGTTGTCGCGTATTCCGTTGAGTTTTGGTACCAAAATCCACAATCATAAATGAGTAATAACTCCGATGAGGTAAATGTGACTCCAGTAAGTTTCCTTGACGTAGGATGTTGTAGATCACCAACGTAGATGATCTATGTCGAAATGATTGGACGCCTACTCGAGTTAGACGTGAATGGTGTGACAAACTAGCTAACGTCGAAGTCACACCTCGTGGTCAGCACCTTACGTGGACTACCCCATTGACGTATCAAGGTACCATAGATGCTTTGAAGGCCGTACAACGCAGAGGACATTAATACAGAAATATATTAGTTAAACTAGATACAAGCGAAAGTAAGACCACTGCCGCATGGGCCAGTCCATGGCATACGATCAACTGATGCGCGTTGGTTGTCCCTGACCTTGACGAGGATCGATGATTTGCTTGATATTGAATGACCCAACTGCTGGATAATTTGGCTAGGGCTTGGTTACATTTCGCTGGCTCTACAATGTGGACAATATTCTACTTAGAATGCAATTGGCTAGATAACGCGTGAGAATAGAACAAGGTGTGTGTGTGTAGTAGTGTATTTGCGAACAACCACAAGTGTGTCACGTTATGTCAGCATCAAAGCGGAAAGTGTGTTCAAGGACATTTACTAAAACAACAGGTACAATCATTAAATGATAAAATATACAGACAATGGAAGATCGACAAAATAAATACAAATAATATTAAAAACTGTTTACAAAATAAGCTTGTCAGGCCTATCTCCACATACCTCCCCCAGAGTGTCCGGAGGTAACACTGGTTATAATAGCAAAAAAATGTAAGGATATGATATATACATGTATACAAAAATAATATTTACAGTTGTAACTAATAGAAGTGTTGAGATGAGTATGACATGTACGTTTTTGTATGAAAATAGCACAGATGTAGCATAACATAATAAACACACACATAAAAATGAAAACACTGTCATTTAATGTCTTGTTTGGCTAACAATGATAATAATAATGTGCAAAACTGCTAATGACCCACAAATAAAAATTGAACTGTTTATTTTTGTGTACAATGAATACGTCATTACCCGTTTATTATTATAACAAAAAAATGTGACAAAACGAATAATTGTGGAAAAATGTGATTAATTATGTACACTGTGAAAAAATTTTTTAGATGGGCTTGATAGTGTAGGTCCTCGATAATTATTTTCTTTGATTGTTTTAGTTTTTTATATGGCAAAATGTACGTAACGCTTTGGTTTTTTTATAAGTCTCCCAGAACGTGTTAAACAAGAGGGTGTATTGCTAAGTTCTTCCTCTTCTTCTTGTTTCTTAGCAATTGATGGGAGTGATTGTTTGTTCGCAGCATTGTCTTCTGTGTCTTGAGGGACTTCGTAGAAAGCTGGTTTTATTCGGTCTATGGAAATTGTCTCATTATTCCCATTTCTGTTGATAATGAAATATTTGTGAGTGCGTTTTATTACTTTATAAGAGCCTTCATATGGTGATGTCAATGGCTTTTTTACCGCGTCTACTCGAACAAAAACAAATTTGCACGTTTCTAAATGTTTATCAAGATGGACTCGGTTGTTGTGTTCTCGAGGTAGTATTGCTCTGATTTTCTGCGTCATTTGTAGTAATCTGATTACAAAACGAGAAGGGTCTCCTGGCGTTGTGGGTTATTTCTTGACCAGTTGTCCTGGTAAAGTTTATGTCTTGCCATAGACTAGTTCAGCGGCCTGCATCCGATGTCTTCCTTTACTGACGAGCGAATCCCAAGGAGAACGAGTGGTAAAGCGTCGCTCTATTTTGAAGAGTCCGGTTGTGCCATCAGAGAGCTTTTTAGTTGGCGATGGAATCTTTCGACCATGCCATTACCTGCCGGATGATAAGCTGTCGTTTTGATATGATTTACTCCAAGAAGTTTAGTGAACTCGTGAAATAGGACGGACTGGAATTGGGGACCGCGATCTGTTGTGATTGTTGATGGTACGCCATAGTTGGATATCCAGCGATCTGCGACAATGTTTGTGTGACCTTTGATGAACCTGATGTCTGTAGTAAATTGGGAGACACAATCAAGTTGTCTTGCTTCTCGTGGGGAGTGTTTGTCATACGATGTGCTTAAAGATTGGCAAAAGGGTTTATGACCTGTCATAATGATGAGATCACGACCCTGTAGCAAGACGTTGAAATGTTTTATGGCTAAATATATAGCTAGAAGTTCGCGTCCAAAAGTACTATAACGTTCTTGTGCTGGCGATAATCTCTTGGAGAAAAAGGCAATGGGGGTAATCGTGTTGTTTACTCGCTGTTGTAATACTCCCCCGACGGCTTTTTGTGAAGCATCCGTGCATAGTATCAACAGTGTTGTGAGGTCAGTATTTAGGTGTTGGAGCATGGTAGCATTGGCAATCATGGATTTAGCTTTTTCAAATGCTACTTTGACATCAGAAGGTAACTTGAATATTTGGTTCTTTTCTTTCTTGGTACCTGATTTATCGTTTTTCAGTGAATCTGTCAACGGCTGTAGTACATCGGCGCAATTTGGTAGAAATCGTCGATAAAAATTTCATGTTTCAAGAAAACGCCGTAGTGATTTTACTGAGTTTGGTTCTGGGTAGCTGATGGTGGCTTTGACTTTTTCTTCAGGCGGTTTAATTCCTTGGGAATCAATGTGATGTCCCAGGAATTCCAGAGATGAGGCACCAAATATACACTTCGAAGGGTTGATTAGAACACCATAACTTTTGAAACGTTCGAAAAGCGTGTGTAAGTGCTGAACATGTTCTTCACTGGAAGAACTAGCGATTAAAACATCTTCGATATAGACAAATACAAAATCTAAACCTCTAGTTACATCGTCCATAAATCTCTGAAAGGTTTGAGCGGCGTTTTTGAGTCCGAAAGGAATCCTCAAGAATTCAAACAAGCCAAAGGTGTGATTACGTCTGTTTTTTCGATATCCTCAGGTGCCATCGGTATTTGATGGTATGCTCGGACTAGATCTAACTTTGAAAAGATCTGTTTTCCATGTAGATTTAAAGAAAAATCATGCAGATGATGGATCGGATACCTGTCTGGGATAGTCTGTTTATTTATACGGCGATAATCTCTACATGGGCGCCAGCCTTGATCTTTCTTGGGAAACATGTGCAGCAGCGAGGCCCAAGGACTGTTAGATTGTCTGATTATACCAAGTTGCATCATGTGTTAGAATTCTCTCTTAGCGGACTGCAACTTGTTTGGAGGGAGTCTTCTCGCCCTGGTGCGAATGGGTGGTACTGTAGTAGTGATACTGTGCTGAACATGATGTGTGGAGCATTCGCTTTGGTAATCAGCTCTGGTTATACTTTCATACTTCCACAGGATATCGGTGAAAATTTTATTT